ATTCAAACCGGACCTAGGAAAAATAATGAGAAACCAGACTAAGTGTTTCTACTGCAACCCATTGTCCTCATCCTAGATGAATGAAAGCCTCTCTCCATGCTCAGTTCTGAGAGATGAATGTGTTCAAAAGCCATCTATCGGCTAGCTTGTAGGGAACACACAGATTCTTTTGAGTGGGGAAAAACAATACATACATATATATGGGAGGTAATATCCAAGTCGACTTTACAGTGAAAACTGCATGAAATTCAAACCAGTACTAGGAACGAAACTGAGAAACCAGAGTAAGTGTTTCTAATGCAACCCATTCCCTTTATGCTAGATGAATGAACGTATCTTAAAATGCTCTATTCTGAGACTTAAGTGTGCGTGAAAGCCGTCAATCACCTAGCTTTTTGGGAACACACAGTTTCTTTTGAGTTGGGAATAACACTATATAAATATATATGGGACGGTACTAACTCCAACTCTGTTTTACAGTGAAAAATGCATGAAATTCAAACCGGCACGAGGAAATATACTGAGAAAGCTTAGTAAGTGTTTCTACGGCAAATCATTCCTTTCATCCTAAATGAACGAACGTCTCTCCACAGGCTCAGTTCTGAGGGTGGAATGTGTGCGAAATCATCTATCACTAGTCTTGTACAGAACACACAGTTTCTTTTGACTGTGGAACTACACTACATACATATATATGGGGGAGGTACTAGCTCCAAGTCGATTTTACAGTGAAAACTGCATGAACTTCAAACCGGCACTAGGAAACATACTGAGACATCAGAGTAAGTGTTTCTAATGCTACCCATTCCCTTTATGTTAGATGAACGAACCAGACTCCACATGCTCAATTCTGAGAGTTAAGTGTGTGTGAAAGCCGACAATCACCTAGCCTGTTGGAAACAAACATATTCTTTTGAGTGGGAAACTACAGTGCATTCATATATATGGAGAGGTACTACCTCCAACTGTTTTACCGTGAAACCTGCAGCAAATTTACCGACACTAGGAAACATACTAAGAAACAAGAGTAATTATTTCTAGTGCAACCCATTCCCTTTATACTAGACGAATGAAAGCCTGTCCACATGCTCTGTTCTGAGTTTAATGCTAGCGAATACCATCTATCACTTAGCTTGTAGGGAACACAGTTTCTTTTGAATACCGAACTAACTACATACATATATACGGGGAGGTACTAGCCTGAAGATGATTTTACAATGAAAATTGAATGGACTTCAAACTGGCACGAGGAAACTTAGCTGAGAAACCACATAAGTGTTTCAACTACAATCAATTCCCTTCATCCTAGAAGAACTAACGCTTGAACCCATGCTCAGTTCTGAGAGCTGACTCTCTGTGAAAGCCATCTATCACTTAGCTTGTAGGGAACACACAGTTAATTTTGATTGGGGAAATACACTACATACGTATAAATGAGGAGGTACTAGTTCCAAGTCAGTTCAAAAGTGGAAAATGCATGAACTTCAGACCGGCACTAGTTAATATACTAAGAAAACACAGTAAATGTTTCTATTGCTAACTATTCCCTTTATGCTATATGAATGAACATCTCTACACATGCTCAATTCTGAGAGTTAAATGAGTGTGAAACCCATTAGTAAGCTAACTTTTTGGGAACACACAAATTCTTTTCAGTGGGAAACAACACTAAATACCTATAAATGGGGGCAGAATACTTCCAATTCGGTTTTACAGTGAAAACTGCATGGACTTCAACCCGAAATAGGAAACATACTGAGAACAAAGAGTAAGTGTTTCTACTGCAAATCATTCCCTTTATGCTAGTTGAAAGAACGCCTCTCCACATGCTCAGTTCTGAGTGTTGAATATGTGCAAAAGTAAACTGTGACTTAGCTTGTAGGGAAAACATAGTTTCCTTTCAGTGGGGAAATACTCTACATATATCTATATTGGAAGGTAATAGCTCCAAGTCGTTTTTACACTGAAAACTGCATGAATTTCAAACCACCACTAGGAAACATACTGAGAAACGAGAGTAATTATTTCAAGTGCTACCTCTTCTGTTTATGCTAGATGAAAGAACATATCTTAACACGCTCAATTCTGAGAGTAACTGAGTGTGAAAGCAGTCAATCACCTAGCTTGTTGGGGAAACACAATCTTTTTCATGGGGAAAATATATGACATAATTTTATATGGGGAGGTACTAGCCCCAACACGGTTTTACAGTGAAAACTGCATGAACTTAAAAACCGGCATGAGGAAACAGACTGAGAAACCAGTGTAAGTGTTTCAACTGCAAAGAATACCCTTCATCCTAATTGAAAGAAAGCCTCTACACATGCTCAGTAATGAGGGATGAATGTGTGCAAATGTAAAACATCACTTAGCTGGAAGGGAAAATATAGTTTCTAAAGAATGCAGAACAACACTACATATATATATATATATATAGGGGTACTACCTCCAACTCGGTTTTACAATGAAAAATACATGAAATTTAAATGGACACTAGGAAACATCCTGAGAAACCAGGGTAGTTCTTTCTACTGCAAACCATTATCTTTTTGCTAAAAGAACGAACGTCTCTCCACATGTTCAATTCTGAGAAGAATTGTGTGTGAAAGCCGTCAATCATCTAGAAACTTGGAAACACACAGATTCTTTTCAGTGGGAAACTACTCTATATAAATATATATAGGGAGGTACAAGCTCCAACTCGTGTCTAAAGTGAAAAGTGTATGAACTTCAAAACGGCACTAGGAAACATACTGAGAAAACAGAGTAAATGTTTCAACTGCAACACATTCCCTTCATGTTAAATGAAAAAACGTCACACCTCATGCTCATTTCTGAGAATTAAGTGTGTGTGAAAGCAGTCAACCAACTAGCTTGTTTGGAACACACACTTTCTTTACACTGGAGAACTACACTATATAAATATATATGGGGAGGTAATATTACCAAATTGGGTTTACAGTGAAAACTGCATGAAATTCAAACCGGCACTAGGAAAGATACTGAGAAACCAGAGTAAGCGTTTCTACTGCAAACCATTCCTTGTAGGTTAGACGAACGAAAA